TATTGGGGATGGTTAGTCATGCTTTATAAGAGAACTTATATAAAATAAACACCAGTTTACACTACTGCACAACTTCATCTTACTGCCGGTTCAACTACTACATAGAGAACCCCAAAGTAAGCTGTGTTAGCGGGGGCTATCTCGTCCCTTATTTCTCGTACACTTGTTGTCCATCATACTTGTTTCACCGTCTTGTTTGTCACATCTGGTACTTGGAACACCTTTAGGCTAGCAACCAGAACAGTTCCTCCCTCCCTGATCCAATCAACAAGGGAGGCGAGCTAGCTGCGGCGGCGGGATGACGAGCACGCGCGTGGCGAGCTGCATCTGCTGGACGGCGAGCGCGGCTGCATGGGCGTGCTATGAGTGCGCGATGGCGGCAGTGTTAGCAGGCGGGCAGTGGCGGGGCGGGACGACAGCGCTGGAGTCATGGACCACGACGGCGACGTGGGGTGCTCGTCGCCAGTGAAGGGACCGTCGAACACCTGGTGAAGGGACCTACGAAGACCTTAGCACCTGGCCTGCGCCGGTGGCGACGCGAAGCAGCAGCAGCGGGATGTGGGATGCAGGATGGCGGAGGGTGGAGGTTAGCGGCATGAAGGGGCAGGGGCAGGCTGTCAGCGTCAGCGGGGAGGACTGGGAGGCACCGGTGCAGGGTGTGGAGGAGGCATGGCGGCGTTGGTGTCGGGGGTAGGGCGGGGCATCGGACGGGGCCGGGTTCATGAGGAATTCGAGGTTTCTGTTTCACCCAAGAGACTTTTGCCTTCTTTTTTTTTTACAAAGCTGAGCGGATCGGTCCGGGGGGAAAGGATGAGACAAGGCCGGGCGTAGCTTACTTGGGGTTGAAGCGAAGGTAGCATGGCATACGATATCTGTTTCATAATTTTTATAGTTGTAGAAGAGACGAAGAGATGGACCATCCGCTGGTTTCTGCTTGAGATTGCTTGGTTTAACGATAAAGGAGCTCTATATAGTCTAGATTTTTTTTTCTCGAATACGCAAAAGATTTGCGTATCATTGTATTAAGTAGAAGAGTTTAAGCAAATATACAACGCGCTTCTATCGAGCGCTGAAGGAGGTCGACCTAACACAGCACGTAGCTGGACCATCCTAGCAAAATACCTCTTGTTTCGATATTACATAAAAGGAAACAACCAATACCGATACAACGATGCGACCTTGGAAATGGCCTTGCGCCTTCGTGGCTGCCTGGACGAGCCCTTTCCAACGGCCGGGAAGAGCGCGTTATTATATGCATCTAGTGACCACCTATGATACTTGACTTTCGTTATTATATGCATCTAGTGGAACACACTGGTCGTGTGGCTCCTAGGCCTACTGGGTTGATTAATTTAATCTTAGCTGCCGGTTGATAGTTCAGTTTAGCTTAGTAATTTGGACGGCTCCATGCAATATTTGTCTCCAAATTACCGTCCAAAAATATTTTTTTGTGTAACAACATATCATATAAAAACAATATTCAATAAATTTTGTAGGGTCCTCACGTAATTCAGTTTAAATATTCGAAAAAGGACATGGTGGTATAGCTTGCAGCAGAAACACAAAACAGTGATTGGTTACATATACTTCCCATTTATTGTATTATATCTCGACCGTAGCATGTCGTCGTTACACACAGGAGTATGCAAAATGCATATAAACCTATCTTCGTTCAACGAAGTGAGTATCAATTTATTTAGTAGTGGTTGTTCTCCCAGAATTGTGCTTGGAGCCAATCAATTTTTCCCTTTTGCACCTGGAAAGCCTTGGCCAAGACATCATCTGAGATCGGTGGTTTTGATCCAAGGACTGCGTTGGCAATAGTAATAGCCCCAGGGTTCTGGCTGCTTAGTGCAGCGATTGCTACAGCCGGCTTGTCATGTATTGGGTTGAATTGGAAGGGTATGAGCCCTTGGGGGAACACAAACACTTCACCCTTGTTGAGAACCTTGGTGAATAGCTTGTTACCGTTGTCTGTGTTGGAGGTGACAAATCCAACATAGAGTGTACCCTCTAGTACGGTGAGAATCTCTATGGCACGTGGGTGGGTGTGTGGCGGATTCTGACCTAATGGTGCGTAGTCAATGCGAGCCAATGAGATGCCCAGGGTGTTGAGTCCAGGCAACTACATGACATTGATCAAAGTGACATTGAATCCGATCTTGCTTTTCATGGTGTCCCTAGGCTTGTCAAGGTTTGCTGCCTTGAAAAAGTCATCTGCATTCACGGCCATGGGGTCCTTGCAAACAAATCCATTCACCTTCACTGCATATACAAAGACGAAGGAAAATAGGTACACAGAGATCAGAAAACATTAGGACATACTAAAAAATATAATGTTTATTGTGACAAATGATTATTATTTGATCCTCAGTTTACTACAAGAAAGCTCGTGCGGCAGGAGGAAGAAGCGGTGGCGTGTGGGGGAGTGCAGGTGGGTGGGGCTACGGGAGCGGATGTGACAGCGACAGGAGGAGGCACGAAAGTGACCTCGGGCGCGACCCGATCGTGCCATTTTCTTTTCCGGGCTGGAGGAGGTGATTTTATTTTACATCGGTTTTGGCTCAATCCGTATGTAAAATTAGTGTGCACACTAGCCATCCAAACATCTAATTCTTGCTTGCATCGGAAAATTGACAGGCCTGTAATTTACAGGTGTCTTGGACTAAATACTGGGCTTCCAAACATGCCCTTAAAGTGAGTGCATGCATATATGGAGAGTGTATGTCAGCCACAGAAGTCCTGGAGCGGGCTAGGGTCAGAAGCAATGGCCTGAGAAGTGACCAATGCTAGAAAAAACGAGGAGAAAGTACATGGCGGGAACCATCTAGTTTAATTTTGGCTCGCTTTTATGATTGTGCTCTTCGAACTCAGCTATAGAGAGCTGCTTGTTGAGTTTGCGTCTCTCTGTTGATGCTTTGGGCATGGGGATGCATGGTGTGTTTATATAGGCAGCCACAACGGCAAGTGTGGCGTCGTGAACACGTTAATGACAGAAAAGTGCAAGTTCAACCTGCTGATGAAACAACACAACTAATTATCATATACTATATTTCTCAACCTTTTAAACCTACCTTGGTTTTAATATGTATTTTCACACGCATTACACTAGCAAATCCAATGGGATCTCTTTGGAACGCGTATTCTTTCTTTTCATTTGTGTTTTTGGGTGGAAGGGTCATGCTTATTATCCTTTTAAAAGTAATTCTAAAATAATAGGAAGGAAACCATAAAATGGGTAATAATTACTATATTTATCTAAATTTTAACACAGGTAAATGAGTCCTTTTGGACGTCCTTTGTTAACTGACGGTGTGGTTTATATATATATATATATATATATATAAGTTATATATATATATATACTATATACCTTATAGCGGTAGCTACTACAAAATACCTTATCATGTAGCCACTTTGAGTTATGACAATTACTATGTTAATTTACGATATTATAGTAACTCGTTACTAAGTGGTTTACTATAACGTTACGGTAAATATCCCCATGTGTTATAGTAACCCAACTATCGTAAATATGTATTGACATTATCGTAATTTAACCCAACGAATATTTATCTAAATTAACACAGGTCAATGAGTCCTTTTGAACGGCGTGATTTGTTAATTGTTACCAGGTAAGATACTTGTTTTCTAATGGTGATTATGACATTCCCAGTAATCACGTTAGCTGATGGTGGACTGTGATAGTTGCCTAAAGAACAATATTGGATCAAATGGTCGATCCATGCGTTTGTGCTTACATAAGGATAGAAAGAGTCAACTCCTCATGTTTCCAATGTTTACTTGGTCACCATTTAATGGGGAGCTAACATACATAAATTAATCGAGTGGAATGCTGGGTGGTCTCTTGAACCGGCAGTGTTGGTGGAACTGAACTCTGCCGGGTTGTGTAAAGGACCGGCAGTGAAGTTGAAAAACACTGCCGGTTTGTAGGAACCGACAGTGATTGCTAACCCTCATCACTGCCGGTATGGTTGTGCCGGTTCAAAATCCGGCAGTGATGGGGTGTTTTGAACCGGCAGTATTGTCCTGATCTGGGGTAGTGTCCCGTACTTTAATATAAATATTCGAAAAAGAACATGGTGGTATAGCTTGTAGGAGAGACACAAAAACAGTGACTGGTTACAAAATACTTCTCATTTATTCTATTATATATCTCGGCTGTAGCATGTCGTCATAACTGAATACACAAAAGAGTACGCAAAATGCATATAAATCTATCTTCATACAATGAAGTGAGTCTCAATTAATTTACTTAGTAGTGGTTGTTCTCCCAGAATTGAGCTTGGAGCCAATCAATTGTTCCCTTTTGCACCTGGAAAGCCTTGGCCAAGACATCATCTGAGATCGGTGGCTTTGATCCAAAGACTGCGTTGGCAATAGTAATAGCCCCAGGGTTCTGGCTGCTTAGTGCAGCGATTGCTACAGCCGGCTTGTCATGTATTGGGTTGAATTGGAAGGGTATGAGCCCTTGGGGGAACACAAACACTTCACCCTTGTTGAGAACCTTGGTGAATAGCTTGTTACCGTTGTCTGTGTTGGAGGTGACAAATCCAACATAGAGTGTACCCTCAAGCACGGTGAGAATCTCTGTGGCACGTGGGTGGGTGTGTGGTGGATTTTGACCTAATGGTGCGTAGTCAATGCGAGCCAACGAGATGCCCAGGTGTTGAGTCCAGGCAACTGCATGACATTGATCAAAGTGACATTGGATCCGACCTTGCTTTTCATTGTGTCCCTAGGCTTGTCAAGGTTTGCTGCCTTGAAGAAGTCATCTGCGTTCACGGCCATGGGGTCCTTGCAAACAAATCCATTCACCTTCACTGCATATCCAAAGACAAAGAAAAATAGGTACACAGCGGTCAGAAGTCACTAGGACATACATAAAAATAGTGTTTGTTCTGACAAAAACAATTATGATTTGATCTGTAATTTAGTACAAGAACATAGCGCATTATTTAAACTGAGTGCATGCATACCTGGAGAGTGTATGTCGGCAACACAGAAGTCCTGGAGCGGGCTAGGGTCTGAAGCAGTGGCCTGAGAAGTGGCCAATGCTAGAAGCGAAGCCAGGAGAAAGTAGGTGGAGGGAGCCATCTGGTTTAATGTTTGTGCTCTCTGAATTGAGCTATGGAGCTTCTGTCTGTTTGATGTTTTGGGCATGGGGATGGTGTGTGTTTATATAGGCTGCCACAGCGGCAACGGTGGTGACGTGAACGTGTTAATGACCGGAAAAGTCCATGTTCAACCTACCAAAAGAAGAAATGGTCTCCGGCTGCTAGAACCTGCAGACGAAACAACACAATTAATTATCTTAATACTATATCAACCTTTCCAAACCTACCTTGGTTTTAATATTTTCACATGCATTACATTAACAAATCCAATGTGATCTCTTTGGAATATGTATTCTTTCTTTCTTTGGTGTTTTTGGGTGGAAGGATCAAGGTCATTATCCTTTTAAAAATTAATTCCAAAATATTAGGAAGTAAACCATAAAATGGGTATTCCTAGTAATTACGTTATTTATTTAGGCTTTTGCTCCAATACTCCTCTTTCAAAAAATCGCACACATCTCAAAGCAGCTCAGCTAATTAATTAAACATTTTCTTAATCATTTTTCACCTGGGTCTCGCATATTCTCGGCCCGCCAAGCCCAGACGCAAGCCGAACTTCATGTCTACTCGATCCCACTTTCTTCGGATCCAGTTCATCGGAGGATGGATCTTTTCATCCTTTGGATCCTGTTGATCGGAGGATTTTGTTTTCATCATCCTTCGGATCCCTTCGATTCCCGGAGAGGAGCTCCGGCAGCGCTGTTCTATTTCGCGTGAGGAAGTCCGCGCGACAGCGCCGCTTCCTGATGGACGTCCGCTGCTGGCTGCTACTGCTACTCGTGTGTCGTGTGTGAGGCCAGCCACCGCGACGGCGGCCATGGATGATGGATGCCGCTGCTGGCGCTACCGACGAAGCAACGCATCAAGGTGCATGTCGATATATATGCAAGCAGTGAATATATAGGAGCAGAATCCGAAACAAAAGCATGTCGAGAGGATTAAGTTCGGCTTTGGTTCAAGCTGGGCACGGGCTGGATAGGACGCTCCGGGCCCAAGCCCATGCGTGACACAGGTGAGAAATAAAGAACACATTTAATTAATTAGTTAGGCTGCATTGGGATACGTGTATTTTTTTTAAAAGAGGAGTACTGGAGCACATCTCATTTATTTAAATTTCAACGCAGGTAAATAAGTCCTTTTGAACGGTGCGGTTTGTTAATTGTTGCTGGGTAATATGGAGAGATGATTAAGATGTTGATAACATGGAGAGATGATTTATTTTATTTTCTAATGGTGATTAAGACCTTCCCAGAAGCAGTTGCTGATGGTGGACTGTGATGGTTGAAATGGTCGATCCATGCGCTTGTGCTCACATACGAATAGAGAGAGTCAACTCCTCATGTTTCCAATGTTTACATGGTCATCATTTTTTCGGGAGCTGACATACATGAATTAATCGACTGGAATGCTTCCGTACCAAGGCGGGCACGAACGGGTAAAAGCCTAAAAGGGTAGCTAACGCACACGCTTTACTTTTGAGTTAATCTGTGGTGAAGCTTCTATCCATCATCTGTCCTCCGTGCTTCACCAGTGAGGTCATCCTGTAAGCCTGCAGCCTGCTATTGCCACAACACATAGCAAAATGTTAACTTTCTATTCACTGGATCCCTAACATTTTGATATGATATCGGCGCTTCATTAACGTCCTGCTGCATCTGATAGTGACCTTTTTTTTTTGGACCGATCAAGCATTTGGGTGCTCGCTACCCGTAACTAGCAATCACTGCTGGTTTGGAACCAGCGCTTTTGGTGCCAGATTTCAATCCGCCAGTGGTTAATGGACGGTGTTGGTCTTGGCGTTGCACTGCCGGTTTGTCACCGGCAATGATGCTTATTCTCACATAATAACAAAAAAAGCATTGTGATCGTGATCCCGCTGCATGAACCGTGTTGACGCAAAAATTTTGGTCCAGGGCTAAAGAATCACTGCTGGTCTCTGTTACCAATTGGCAATATGTGAAAGCCCATCTATCACTGTCGGTTATACTATCACTGGCGGTTGAAGCTACGAGGCTTAGCACTACCGATCGGCGAACACTGATGGTATACTCTGTAGTAGTGGCTTTCAAACACTGATGGTATACTCTGTAGTAGTGGCGTTCACTATAAAGAAGAACATGGGCATAGCCAATAAGACTTCTTTACCAATACCAAGCATCAAGGGCTTCTCCGCCACAAGCAAGCACAAAAGCTAGAACAAGATGGCGGCAACAACCAAGCTCAAGTAAAGAAGAAGAGAGCGAAGAATCTCCTGAAGTGCAGATGAGTACCTAGTGCACATGCCAAAAAGACTGCCAAGGCATGTGGGTATTGTTTGGAGGAGAGTACTCCATAAGTCTCGACCATCTTCGAGTGTATATGTTGATAACGAGGAAGGATTGAAGGAAAGAATCAAGAAGAAGGAGAAAGCCAAGGAAAAAGGAACAAAGGAGCATGCGGCTTTCCTCGCCATTCAAGAATGGATAAGTGTTGACCCTTTACTGCCGGTTCTTTGCTCTAAAAACCAGAAATTACTACAGAATTGCACTTCACTGCCGGAATTAGGAGAACCAGCAATGTTGACCCTTCACTGCTGGTTCTTTGCTCTGAAAACTAGAAATTGATTTGGGATGTGACCGAACCGGCAGTGATGACAACTATCATTGCCGGTTTGTGTCTCTAACTGGTAGTGTCTTGATGGCCACATATCACTGCCCGTTCAAGCCAAGAGCCAACAATGATTGTGATCTATCACTGTCGGTTCTATCCATGAACCGACGGTGATAAGCCTACAGCACAAAAAGGCTACAGCCGTCCTCTTCTTCCTCCTCTCTTCCATCCCGAGAACAGAGGCACGCGTTTGGGACCTTCCCTCCATTGTTGCGGCTGCTATTCACCATGAAGCTAGCGCTTGGATTTTCTAGAATGGCTTGATCTTTTTGCTTTAAGGTTAGTAACAAACATCCACTCCTTTGATTTTGTTGCTTAATTAGCTTCGTTGTGATGGCCACATTGCTTGATTCTCATTCTAGTTCTTTCTCCATTCTAGAGAGCACTTTTCCAATTGGACCTTTGTGCAAGGCTCAAATTATGGTGAATCCATCGTCCAAAAGGTTGGTGTCTATGAACATATTTAAATTCCTAGCTAATTATTCCATGGTGGTCAAGATCATCATTGTTAGTATGTGATGCTATAATTAGTTCTTAGAAGTAGAGTAGATTCTTTTTACAATTTGTTGAGAAAACTAATCTATGTGTCACATAACAACGCACTGTTTGGAGCTACATTATTGTTCATGATCATGTCTCCAATTTTTGACTTATTTTTAAAATTAGTGTCTCCATTTTTATGTGGCATGCTGTAGAATAATTGTTCTTCATTATTGTGCAATAATTTTTTATGGGGCTATGTTTTTGAATTTATATGGGCATTGTTTCGAGCTACATTGTTGTCCTCTGCTCCTAGTTCTCCTACTCCTCTCCTTTCCTATCCTTCTCTACTATAACTGTTTTCCTGGACATAAATTTAGGAGAAGAGATGGCCGAACTCCCTTCGCCGGATCTGCTAGATAATTATGCATTTGATCTGGACTTCCAACCAACATTGGGGTGGGCAAACCACCCATATCCAAGCATTGTAAGTAACATATTTTAAAGACACCTCTAGATATTTTGTTCTGATATATATCATTTTTAAATATAGACAGTTCAACCTATACCATGGCTCAGAGAGACAATCTCAAATTTCGAGGTTGATTACCTCAATGTTGGTACATTCCCTATGTTGGTACATTCCCTATAGATGGTGGACTCAAGCAATGTCGAATTGGGTTTTTCTATTGTAGCTAGGGCGGGTAACCAATAAGGTCTAGTTTTATACATCGAGAGGATGGGCAGCACACAATATCACGATATTAGTGCGTAAAAATATGCTGTGCAAGAATGTTTAAGGGTGCTTCAAAGAATTGGGTGCAATATTCCTACATACTCCTCCATGAGGATTGAATCTTTGGATGTGGGCCTCCACCACGATATTGGGCATTATTGTGCATAGATTGCTGAGAACAACATAAATGATGTGGTCAGTCTCATAACTTATATCCAGATTAATTGTTATGTCTATATATATATGCATGGTTCTCATAACCACATTTTTTTCCAACAGAGGCAGATTGAGGAGAATGGCACAACATACTCAAGTGGTAGCTTTGAAGCCATTATAAACCAGGCCATGCATCAATTGGGTCGTTATAGATCGGAATATGGTGGCCCTGTTCTCACTTCAGAGGGAATCTAGGAAAACAAATTCTTGTGACTAGGAGAGAAGGTTCTTGACCAATGCTGATCGTCGTCAATAGACCTTGTGAGCGATATTATGAAGCAAGGGAGAGTGCACTTGTAAATACATTGCGCTACATCAGTGACATTTTGGCATATGAAATTAATGATCTGCACTTCTCCGAGTATGTGGCACGACGTTGGGAAGTTCTAGGAATTTAAATTCTCTGATCTAAATTATTATGGTTTACAATGAACAAATTTAAATTATTATGTGTTTGTAATGAAGTAATATAGATTATTATGGGTTTATAATGTATATATCTTCTTGTCAATTAGCTGTTGATATAATGTCCTTGTGAATTATATATTATATAGATATAGTTATGTTTACATGTTGCGGTCACATTTGAATTTTGGAATTTCAATTTTTTTGGTGTAAAAATGTACGGTAGAGTGAACCGCCCCTACAAATGGGAATTATTGGGGTCGCTAGTGTTACAACCGCCCCTACAAATCATTTTTGTAGAGGCGGCTGGTGACACAAGCTGCCTCTAGAAATTGATTTGTAGGGGCGGCTTGGGAACCGCCCCAACAAACCTTTGATTTGTAGAGATGCTGTGGTAGGCGCGGCTGATAAAACCGCCTCTATAAACCATTGCCTTCCGCCCGTACAAATGCTTACTGTAGTAGTGTGCAAAATGCATATAAACGTATCTTCGTACAATGAAGTGAGTCTCAATTTACTTAGTAGTGGTTGTTCTCCCTGAATTGAGCTTGGAGCCAATCAATTGTTCCCTTTTGCACCTGGAAAGCCTTGGCCAAGACATCACCTGAGATTGGTGGTTTTGATCCAAAGACTGCGTTGGCAATAGTAATAGCCCCAGGGTTCTGGCTGCTTAGTGCAGCGATTGCGACAACTGGCTTGTCACGGATCGGGTTGAATTGGAAGTGTATGACCCCTTGGGGGAATACAAACACGTCACCCTTGTTGAGAACCTTGGCAAATAGCTTGTTACCATTGTCTGTGTTAGAGGTGACAAATCGAACATGGAATGTACCCTCAAGCACGGTGATAATCTCTGTGGCACGTGGGTGGGTGTGTGGCGAATTCTGACCTAATGGTGCGTAGTCGATGCGAGCCAACGAGATGCCGAGGGTGTTGAGTCCAGGAAACTGCATGACATTGGATCCGACCTTGCTTTTCATGGTGTCGCTAGGCTTGTCAAGGTTTGCTGCCTTGAAAAAGTCATCTGCGTTCACGGCCATGGGGTCCTTGCAAACAAATCCACTCACCTTCACTGCATATACAAAGACGAAGGAAAGAAAATATTAGGACATACATAAAAAGTATAATGTTTGTTGTGACAAATGATTATTATTTGATCCTCTGTTTAGTACAGGAATATAGCATGACTTAAAGTGAGTGCATGCATATCTGGAGAATGTATGTCGTCTACACAGAAGTCCTGGAGCGGGCTAGGGTCAGAAGCAATGGCCTGGGAAGTGACCAATGCTAGAAAAGAAACGAGGAGAAAGTAGGTGGCGGGAGCCATCTGGTTTAATTTTCCGCTCGCTAGCTGTTATGTTTGTGCTCTCCGAACTCAGCTATAGAGAGCTTCTTGTTGAGTTTGCGTCTCTATGTTGATGCTTTGGGCATGGGGATGGTGTGTTTATATAGGCTGCCACAAAGGCAAGTGTGGCGACATGAACGTGTTAATGACTGAAAAAGTCCAAGTTCAACCTACCAAAGAACTTTGCAAACCTACCTCGATTTTAATATTTTTCACACGCAGTACAGTAACAAATCCAATGTGATCTCTTTGGAATGTGTATTCCTTCTTTCTTTGGTGTTTTTGGGTGGAAGGGTCATGCTTATTATCCTTTAAAATTAGTTCTAAAATATTAAGAAGTAAACCATAAAATGGGGTCACTACTAGAGAACAGACTTTAGAACGATGTCCCAATTTGGCATTAGCCTCGGTATTTTTTGCCGCCGGGACTAAAGGACCCTTTAGTCCCGGTTCGTAATACCAACCGGGACTAAAGGTCCCTACCCAACGGTCGTCCGAGTGGCAGGGATCTTTAGTCCCGGCTGGTATTACCAACCGGGACTAAAGGTAAACCTTTAGGTAAACCTTTAGTCCCGGTTGGTAATACTCACCGGGACTAAAGGTTTTAGTCCCGGTTTGGGTGATATCCTCGAATAAATATTAATCTTTAGTCCCGGTTTGGCCACCTAACCGAACTAATTATGCGGGCCTATACAACGGCTCATTTCTTCCTCCCCAGCCCGAGCCATTCCATTCAAACTCACCGCCTCTGTTCTTCACTTTTGCTGTTGTTCTTGCTCTCTCCTCCATTGGTGTTGCTCTTCGATTTTGGAGGTAACAAACTTAATCCTCTTATGTTTTATCAAGAGCTTATCTCATTTTTTGCGATGTAGATGCATGTGTAACTTTATATGTTGGACTTTATTATGATTTTATATGTCATTTTTAGCTCAAAATCACATGATGATTTGCATATATGTTTGGATAAACAAAAGTTAAATTAGTTCATCAAAATCACGCCTCGCTTCGTCCTCATTGGAGCACGCGCCATCCTCGTCCCCCTGCCGGCTTACGTGATCTTAGAATTAATTTTTCCATGAAATAAAAAACTTAGAAAATAGTTAGAAAATTGTAGAAAATCCGTACTAGTTGAACTTGCGGACCGTGATCATCTCGGTGAGCATTTTCTCTGCCGAGCGGTAACGGACGTCAAAGAGGAGCTTTGATTCTACGAGGGAGAGCGGCAACGGTCGTGGAAGACCGTGTTCCCTTCCTCGTAGAATCGGAGCTCTTCCTTAGCCAAGTACGGTGCCGTCCGGTAGAGAAATGCTCGCCGAGATGATCACGTAAGCAAGGTCAACTAGTACGGATGGTTATTTATTGAAACATGTTTTTGAGCTATGTGATTTCTATGTCATTTTTAGCTCAAAATCACATGATGATTTGCATATATGTTTGGATAAACAAAAGTTAAATTAGTTCATTAAAATCACGCCTCGCTCGTCCTCGCTGGAGCACGCGCCATCCTCGTCCCCAGCGGCTTACGTGATCTTAGAATTAATTTTTTCATGAAATGAAAAACTTAGAAAATAGTTAGAAAATTGTAGAAAATCCATACTAGTTGAACTTACGGACCGTGATCATCTCGGTGAGCATTTTCTCTGCCGAGCGGTAACGGACGTCAAGGAGGAGCTTTGATTCTATGAGGGAGAGCGGCAACGGTCGTGGAAGACCGTGTTCCCTTCCTCGTAGAATCGGAGCTCTTCCTTGGCCAAGTACGGTGCCGTCCGGTGGAGAAATGCTCGCCGAGATGATCACGTAAGCAAGGTCAACTAGTACGGATGGTTATTTATTGAAACATGTTTTTGAGCTATGTGATTTCTATGTCATTTTTAGCTCAAAATCACATGATGATTTACAATAGTAAAATCACTTGATAGTTTGGTATTTTACTATTATACATAGTACATATTTCATGGTTTAGTTAGATAAATAAATAATTTTAGTTTTGTTTAAATATATTATTTTAGAAAATATGAAATTTACAGAGTTTTACAAAAATAAGTATAGAAAGTAGATGACAATCGGTACGGATCCTCGGCCTCTCGTTCGGTTGCTTGAAATGATCGAGGCCAAAACTCCCTCTCATTATCTCATGGCAAGTGTAAGCGTAAGATTGTGATGGAGTACCGAGTCAAGAGACAGGGACCCAACAAGGGTCGTGTTTTCTACAAGTGCCCGGATCGCGATGTGAGTTTCTTACGCATTTGATTAGTATGGCTAATTGACTGCTTTTCTTGAATATTTTGACTAAATATTTTTTGGCTTTAATTTCAAAGTGGGAGGGCAATGGATGCGATGGTTGGTACTTTGGAGGAAGATTATGCTACATACGCAGCAGAATTCGGCATTGATGATGAGGCAAAGAGCCAAAGAGGAGAAGCTTATTGATATTCAATGAAGAATGATTTGTCTGCTTTTTTAGTTGCGCGCATTTATCACGAAAATAATTATGTTATCAAGTGCATTGTAGTTTTAGTTTGTTTAGTGATAGTTGGGATTGCTTACGTTGTAGCCAGTGCTTAGTTAATTAATCAACCTGTGTGTGTCATCTATGTTGTGTAATAAAATACTTAATTATGTTCAAGGTTTTCATAATTTGTCGTAATACAGATTATGTCACGCCATTGGATGTACAATGCCGATCGCCGCTCCCAAGACTTTATTGAGGGCTTGCACTATTTCTTAGGTGTGGCCGAGGCAAATAAGCGGATGGTTTCATGTGTCATCCATGTGCCCTATGTAAGAATTTAAAGGAATATTCAAGCTCAATGAGTCTTCATTCACATTTGCTTAAGTCGGGTTTCATGTCAAACTATATATGTTGGAGTAAGCATGGAGAAAGCGGGGTCATGATGGAAGAAGGTGAAGGAGAAGATTTAGACATTGATGACATTATTGCTCAAGATGGTGCCTTTGATGATACTACAATGGGGGAGATGAAGAAGAGGTAGCGGTAGAAGATGATCTCGGTGATGCTCTTGGCGATGCCATTCGTGATGCACAACAAGAATGCGAAAGTGAAAAGAGAAAGTTAAGTTCGAGCGCATGCTTGAGGATCATAGGAAGTTGCTATACCCGACGGCCAAGAGGGCAAAAAAAAAGCGGGTACAACACCGGAATTGCTACAAAGGGAAGGCAAAGAATGGTATATCCGACAAGGCATTTGGGAATTTATTGAACCTCATAAAGAAGATGCTTCCGAAGCCAAATGAATTGCCCACCACTACGCATTTAAGCAAAAAGGTTGTTCGCCCTTTGGGATTAAAAATCCGTAAGATACATGCATGTCCTAATGATCGCATCCTCTACCATGGCAATGAATACGAGAATTTGGATGAATGCCCGGTATGTAAAGCATCGCGGTATAAGATCAAGCGATGATCCCGGTGACGCCGAGGGTGAACAACGTCCTAGAAAGAAAATCCTCGCCAAGGTTATGTGGTATGCTCCTATAATACCACGCTTAAAACGTTTGTTCAGAAATAAAGACCATGCAAAGTTGTTGCGGTGGTATAAAGAAGACCGTAAGATAGACAATATGCTGAGACACCCAGCTGATGGGTCCCAGTGGAGAGCGATAGATAGGGAATTTCCAGAGTTTGCAAATGAGGCTAGAAACTTAAAGTTCGCCTGAATTTCCAAAGTTTGCAAATGAGGCTAGAAACTTAAGGTTCGCCTTAAGTACAGATGGTATGAATCCTTTTGGAGAGCAGAGCACTAGTCATAGCACTTGGCTAGTTACTCTATGTATCTACAACCTTCCTCCATGGTTATGCATGAAGCGGAAGTTCATTATGATGCCGATCCTCATCCAAGGTCCGAGGCAACCTGGCAACGATATTGATGTCTATTTGAAGCCATTAGTTGAAGAACTTCTAGTTTTATGGAACAAATCAAGTGTACATGTCTGGGATGAGTACAAACAAGAACACTTTGACCTACGAGCAATGTTGTTCGTAACAATGATTGGCCTGCTTTAAGTAATCTTTCAGGTCAAACAAACAAAGGATATAATGCATGCACACATTGTTTTGATGACCTTGACAGTATATATTTGAAAAGATGTCGAAAGGTCATGTACCTTGGCCATCGTCGATTCCTTCCTTTGAATCACCAAGTAAGAAAGAAAGGGAAGCATTTTAAAGGTAAGCCAGACCACCGGAAGAAGCCTCATAACCGAACCGGGGAAGATGTACTCGCAATGGTCAAGGATGTGAAAGTAGTATTTGGAAAGGGACAAGGCAGTGAATCTGTTCCCAAAGATGCTAAGGGACACGCACCCATGTGGAAGAAGAAGTCCATCTTTTGGGAGCTACCCTATTGGCAAGTCTTAGAGGTCCGCAACGCAATCGATGTGATGCACCTGACAAAGAATATTTGTGTGAACCTGTTAGGATTCATGGGTGTGTACGGGAAGCCAAATGATTCACTTGAAGCACGCCAGGACTTGTAGGGCATGAAAGAATGAGACAACCTTCATCCAGAGAAGACAGATGATGGACGTCATTACTTAAGTCCTGCTAGCTACACGCTTAGCAAAGAAGAGAGGGACATCATGTTCGAATGTCTAAGCAGCATCAAGGTCCCATCGGGATTCTCCTCCAATATAAAGGGTATAATAAATGTGCCAGATAAGAAATTCCTAAACTTAAAGTCCCACGACTGCCACGTGCTTATGACGCAATTGCTTCCAGTTGCTTTAAGAGGAATTCTACCTCCACATGTACGTCTAGCCACCGTGAAGCTATGTGCATTCCTCAATGCAATTTCTCAGAAGGTAATCAATCCAGTGGAACTAGCTACTCTACAGAATGATGTGGTTCAATGTCTTGTTAGCTTTGAGTTGGTGTTCCCTCCATCCTTCTTTAATATCATGACACACATCATAGTTCATTTGGTGAAGGAGATTAGTATTCTTGGACTAGTGTTCTTACATAACA